TTCTTCAGCTGGTCACAGAGTCTGACATTTTGGGTGGCAGAAAAAGAATATGACTGAAAATATAACTGGGTCACCTAATCCGGACCTGAGAATACCATGAACAGCCAAGAAAACAAACTGATGGAACATCAGACCAATCAACCCAAGTTCTCACTCGAGGTATAAATGGCTAGACTCAAATTATTCTACTTAGGACACATTATGCAAAGACCCAGCTCTCTGGAAAAGGCTGGGGAAGATGGAAGGAAGGCAAAGAATAGGACAATGCTTGTGCTGTTTACAATGGTGTTACCAGTTACAATGGTGATGAACAGATCTTTGGAAAATTTAAAAGAACAGCTTAGGGAATAGATAGTTTTGGAGAAGATCTATCCGTGTGGTTACTAGGAGTCAAAAATGACTTGATGGCACATCCTTCTCCTTCTCCTCCTCTTTAAGCATTACAATACAATGGCTCTCTTTACAAGCCTATTCTATTCTGTAACATCTGTCAACTCTACTTATGTCACTCTATCTCCACCCATATATTTGGTATTTTACAAAGAATGGACTTCAAATCTAAAATTGATACTAAAAAAACAAGTTGGGAAACAAAACAAAAATGAGTGCAGAAAGAATATATCAAATTGAAAATTATTTCAGTTATTGCATTCGGACTACAAGTTTCTTCCAAAATCTACATGGAAATAACACAAAAATACTGCACTCTATCCTTAGAGCATCTGCCTGGTCACAAATGTTTATTAAAATATCTTAATAGGATGGTACAAATTGTGTTCTATTTATTTTTTTCAGTGTGCTTTTTTCTTTCAGTCTACATTGAACTTCATTGTTAGATGTCATACCATTTCTAAGAAATAAAAGCAAACAAATATTTACATATATATATGTATACCATTGTATACGCACTCTTTTATTGACCTTGTCTTTATGACTTCAAAGGCAATATGAGACATAGAAGCAAAGCAAATAGGAGGACAGGTTTGGTAGAACTCTTTTCATAACCAAAGCAAGACAATCTCTACTGTGTAAAGAGCTCAGTTGTAAAAAAAGCAATCATTTAAAACCATGACTGTCTTAAAAGTTTACGGTTAAGTGAATTAAATAGATGATGTAGGCACCGATTTATTCAGTGAACAGAATTTGGGATTAAATCTTTTATTTAAAATCCAAATGGAAGTGGAAAGTTGCATGTCTATCTGTTTGTCCGTCCATCCATCCATCCAGTCATATTCATAAGGACAAACAAAACAGGGTGGAGTTGTTGAAAAATATCACCAAGACCAGCAGGAGTCTCTGCAACCCATGAGACCAATTCCTTATTACTGATATTACTGAGATACTACATTTACTAAATTAACTCAGCTATCCTCATGTAATGTAATGACATTTTGTCTCTGTTCTTTGTTTCTATGCAGGTGAGTGTGCATGTACTTATAAATAAAACTTTTATGTCTATTTTTTACTCTTTGTTTTTCTCTTTTTTAAAATCAGTAGAGACGGTCCTCAATGTACAACAGTACATTTAGTGACCATTTGAATTTCAGCAACACTGAAAAAAGTGACATATTGTTTTTCACACTTATGACTGTTGCAGCATCTCCATAACCATATGATCAAAATTCAGACGCTTGGCAAATGACTCATATTTATGACGATTGCAGTGTCCTGGAGTCATGTGATCATCTTTTGCGACCTTCTGCCAAGCAAAGTCAATGTCATTTGACAACTGTGTTACTAACTTAACAACTGTGATTCACTTAACAACTGTGTCAAGAATAGTCATAAAAAGGGCAACATTCACTTAACTGTCCCAGTAACAGACTCAATTGTGGTCGTAAGTTGAGGACTCTCTCTACTTGCACCTATATTTTTTTGTGTGATTTTCAATTCTGGTGTTACCCAGACAAATAAACCAGTAAATTACCCAAATGTCACCTCAGTTATCAAGATTTTTTTGAATGTGATTCAACAGCCTTTCAGCTTCCTAGCTTCATAGAGTATATAGGTAGTCCTCGACTTATAACCATTCATTTTGTAATCAGTGTTGCAACAGCTCTGAAAAAAATGACATGATCAATACTTGCACTTACAACCATTGAAATATCCTGTTAGCTGAAAAAACCGTTGAAAAGAAGGTTCCAGAATCCGGTGTGAGGTGCTCCAAAATACATGCAGGACAAGAGAAATCCAATTCAAACTTATTATTGCTGCAGTAATAAATAGTATGCACCCAAGTTCTTTCTTTACAAGGAGCGTGCTCACAAGTTGATACACCAGTATTCTATAGAACTTTAAAAACTTGATACTTAATTTCATAATTTCTGCCCATCGTCCCTTTTCTGCCCAGCAACAGTCAACACAGCCATCATTCTATACACCAGGCCTCCAGTGCAAAACAACCTATTTTTAAGTTAATTCAGCACCACCTTCCATAGGCTGTATATACTTAGTCATGAGCTGAGGTGTAGGTCCTTAGGAATTTAGCATTGTAAGTTTGTTTTGATGATTTGGGTATTAAAGTTTTACACAATTGAAGAAATGGGGGTAAACAATTAATACAGCAACAAGCAATTGTTCCAATTATAATACATAAGATACATATTAAAAATGTTTTTTAACTATCCCAAATTAGGCAGCCAGGAAGTAGTGCAAAGATTATAAAAGGGCATGGAAGTGTTTATTTGAGTTATGTTATGAAAGTTGGACAATTGCAAGATAGTGTGGACATCTGTAAAGAATCTGACTTCCCTGATCAATATAAATAGAATAGGTGGAATATAGCAAGGCACATACACCATTTTGATTGTCCAATAGGAAATCCAAAGCCATTTGGTTTTGAAGAGCCTCCTAAAATACTGCAATTACTTTCATAATCAACCAAGGGCATCTGCAGTCATATTGATGTAAACTTCTCAGGCTACCGAAATGTTAAGCAATCCATATTCTAATTTTTCAACCTGAATCCCAAGTATAACCAAGTGAATGGAAGTATGTACTGGATAGTCTAATCCAGCTGGCTGGTGTAATTGTAGGTAGACAGAAAGGGAAGATAAAGCAGCAAACAGCTGTACTAAATAGACTTTAAGCATTCCCTCCCCTATTTCATGATATTGTGGTTGCAAGAGGCCTGAATTCCTGGATGTGGCCTAGATAGAGAATTTCAAAGGGACTCTCTCTTTTTGGTGTACAGCGCAGCCTTGGCAATGGGGAGAGCCTGAGGCCAAGAAAATTGGGCTTCCTGAGCTATTTTAACCAGATTTCTTTTCAAGATCCATTAGCCCATTCTGAAGATTGACAGCAGGCTTTTTCTTGCCCCCAATTTAATGGAATATTGTTTGAGGCAAGTAATTAAAATATTGTTTAATTGGACTATTATTGGCTTAACATATTTTGCCCTACCAGATAGTCCGGTAGCCCACACTCAGGACATTACTGCATCTCTAATTTCCCTTGTTTCTTTGCTGCTAGATTGTGATTCACTTAGCATTAAAGGGAGAATTGTCTTCCATGCCTTGTTTATGAATTTTCATGGTTTGACTCCCCAGTCAAAAGTTAATGGTCTGTAATTTATTAATCATATCTCTCCTCAATGCAGCAGCCACATTGATTCTGTTGTAGTTCCACCCTCTGATTTTCTCTTAATTGCTCTTTTTGGCCTCTTAAACCTACATTTCCTCCTTGTCCCTGAAAACCACCTCCAAATCCTCCTCCCCCATGTCTTTTACAAAAACCCCTATCACCTGCACTATTTTGACGTAAGATTTGAGCAAGAACCCAACTCTTTTCTCTCCTTCTGTTTGGTCCTTTCCAAAATTTTATTTTTATTAGGTAAAGGTAAAGGTTCCCTTCCCACATACGTGCTAGTCATTCCCGACTCTATGGGGCAGTACTCATCTCAGTTTCATAGCTGAAGAGCCAGCAGAGTCTGAAGACGCCTCCATGGTCATATGGCCAGCATGACTAAACGCCAAAGGCGCACGGAACGCTGTTACCTTCCCACCAAAGGTGGTCCCTATTTTTCTACTTGCATTTTTTACATGCTTTCGAACTGCTAGGTTGGCAGAAGCTGGGACAAGTAACGGGAGCTCACCCTGTTATGCAGCACTAGGGGTTCAAACCGCTGAACTGCTGACCTTTCAATCAACAAGCTCAGCGTCTTAGCCACTGAGCCACTGCGTCCCTTTATTGCCTGACATCAGTGAACCTTTATAAAGATTGACTCCAGACTGACCTTAGTAAACCTTTATAAAAAAATGAATTCTTATTCATTTTTGGGCAGTTGAGTTTTTGATCGATCTGCATACATGCAATGAAACTGATCCTTTTAAGAGGCTTCTTCTGAAATTGCATGCATGAATCAAAGAACATAAGTTAAGTCTTAAATGGAATTTCTTAATAAATTGCAACCTTCAAGAATTGAATACAAAGTTGTTTAATGGACTCACAAAGTGGACGACTTTGATAAAATCATTGGGGGGTCGGGGGTGGGGAAAGGCCATCCAAAAATCTTGTGCCAGGGAATTGTAAGAAAGTAACCAATCTGCTATTACTAAGGCCAGCTGCCAAAAATCAAAATGAACGTGAAATGTAGACCAGTTGGATTCATACAACATATTAACTCATGCGCTTTAGTTACTGAATTATAATAGATAGCTTCACCTATGTTATTTAAGCCTGAATCAACCAAGCCATATTAAGGCTTGGCATGATCTGAGAAGTTATCAATTCCTGTCGTGTAACAATGGCCTCAAATGGTTTGGGACCTGATCAAATGCTAGAACCCGCTACTTCAAACTGCCACTTATGACATGCTACATTGCCACCACATCACAGCTGTTTAATTGCAATTTTATTTGTGTAAACAAAATGTAAAAAATGCCTCTCACTTATTAAAACCTTAGATTTCTATAGCAATTAAAATTCTTAAGTTATACAATTGAGTATTTGACTAGTAGTCAACATAAAATACACTTACAACTATATAATATTAAAAGAATCATGCACATTATGAAAGTGGTTAATAATTACTTTAAACAGGTCAATCCATTTATTAATTTCTCTCCTTCTCCAAGACCCTTGCCACCTAAATCTTGTCCAAGGAATGCCTTTGTTGAAGACACCAGTTCTCAATATTATTAATAGTAAAGAATTAATATATGTTATTCTGTTTCATGGATCATTAATAGTAAAGAACTAATATATGTTATTGTGTTTTATGGCTTCCTCTGCTGAATATTCAACAGGACAATAGGGTCCTTCTACCCATGGCAGACAAGTGTATTTAGCTATATATTCCATGACTTCAAACAGAGCCTTCCTGGCCTTGTTAATTTTTTCTGGGGTCTCTTTCAGGAAGCCACTGGGAAGATCCTGGAAGGTTGTGGCAGTAGAGAGGACAGTTTGCAGCTCTTTTAAATCACACTGAGCCTGTTGGATTTTTTCTTGAAGATGTTGAGGAAGGCTCTGCATGTTAGTTAAGACATTCTGGCATACCTCCTGCATCTTCTGTGCAACATTGTAAGATGTGGCTAGAGCACGAGATTCCATCTGTTATGAAACAAACAAACAAAAAGATCTCTTAATTGAACATCATAGATGTTCATCTATGAGATTATCTGAAGGGAGGGAGTGGGTGGAGAGAGACAGACAGACAGACAGACAGACAGAGGGCAACTGAATATTCTGGTTTATGCATGGAGACACAGTTGTTTATTGCTGTTCTCCCGATTTCAGACATACAGTACATGCCAGGTGGCAGAATTCAAATGTCCCCCCTCTTTTCTTCCTCACACAATTTTGTGTATGTTCTGTATGTTCTGTATAGGATCTCTGAACCAGCTCTTCATTTGAGCTTTTTCATATATCCTGAGAAACACACCAAAACTTTTAGTCTGTTGCTGGGTATAATTTTTGCATAAATACATTCCGTGTTTTCCCGAAAATAAGACCCTGTCTTATATTTTTTTGAACCCTGAAATAAGCGCGTGGCTTTATTGCCATGCGCTCACAAACCCAGTTGGGCTTATTATCAGGAGATGTCTTATTTTGGGGAAAACAGAATAGTTTGTTTAATAACGTTGCAGGATCCAATCTGGATCACTCACTGGGAGTAGAGATTTAGTCCATTTAATAATGAATAATAATTACTAAATAAATCATAACTGGCTAGGCTTACCCAGGATGGCTAGCCACAAACTATTGTCAAGGCATAATCTTCACTGAGGAACTGCCATTCCCTATTTTTTTGTATCTTCAAAAGATGAAACATTCTTATGTTGAGATACCCACCTCTGCCTGATTTGCTTCACTGCTCTGATCCTGCTTAGGTTGACCTTTGTACCATTCCTTCCACATTTGGTACATTTTTTCTTGACCTCTATGAACTTTGTAGTTCAATTCCTCCTTGGTATATTTTAGCTACAATAAAGCAAAAAAAGGAAAAGAAGAAAAAAGTCAGGCACTGCAAGCCTTGTGTTTTGTGTTTGGCACCATAAGTACAGCTTTGGCTCAAAGGCCAGAGCTATTCATTCCCTACTCATATCGTAAGAGCCGCGGTGGCGCAGTGGTTAGAATGCAGAACTGCAGGCTATTTCTGACGGCCGCTTGCAATTGCCACTTTGAATCTCACCGGCTCAAGGTTGACTCAGCCTTCCATCCTTCTGAGGTTGGTAAAATGAGGACCCAGTTTTTTTGGGCGGCAATATGCTGATTCTGAAAACTGCTTAGAGGGTTGTAAAGCACTGTGAAGTCTAAGTGCTATTGCTATTGCTATCTTCAGTTGTCCAGAAAAATATCTTAAGGAACTTCCATCAAGTTTATTCAGGAAGTATATGTAGTCCTCAATCTACCACCATTCATTTAGTGACTGTTCAAAGTTAGCGATCTACACTCAGTTGTCACACTTGCGATCATTGCAACATCCCCACAATCATGTGATTAAAATTCAGGCACCTGGCAATTGATATGTACCTATGATGGTTGCAGAACCCAGGTCATGTGTTTGCCATTTGCAACCTTTGCAGCCAGCTTCTGAGAAGCAAAGATAGTGGGGGAAGCCAGAGTTGCTTAATGATCATGAGATTCATTTAACAATTGCAGTGATTCAGTTAACAACCATGGCAAAAAAAAAAGATTGTAAAATCAAGTGTGATTCATTTAACAATCACCTTACTTAGCCACAGAAATTCTGGTCCCAATGGTGTTTGTAAGTTGAGGATAACACAGAGATGGAAGTACTTATAAATTCATAGAGTGGATGGTGAAACTGATTATTTTAACCAAAGAAAAGACTTTGTCTAGCTTTGTTTCTACTTGGAGACCACTTTGGACTTTTTGCTTGAAATGGAAAGGCATGAAACTTTAACTTTGCAACTTGATGATCATTTATACTATTGGGAACTATTTATAATTATAGAAATTTTGTGTGTTTCTAATCAGAGTATGAGGCCACAGTGACATATTGTGTATATTAATCTTATAGAAAAAGAGTAAGAGGCTAATTTTGTACCTGTATCTGAAAGTGAGAAGTTACTCTGTTTTTTCTTGGTTTTTTGCACTCATAATTTTGGCTTTTTTCTGAACCATTCTTTCACTATGATTCTATGATTCTCTAATTCCTTTTGTTTACATATTATTTCTTATTGAAATTTAATAAAAATTTTTTAAAGAAAATATTTTCCTCCAACAGGCAAAAGAAAAAAGAACCAAAGTGCACAATCAGCTGGGCATTTTTTTCTTCATTATAGAACTGCCATAGCCTTTGACATTAGCATTCATAAACAACGCTCATTTTGGCCTGGGAACCTCAGAGGGCATTGCTAGTGGTCCTCTAACATGAACAAAGTAGATGTAGTGAATATTGTGTGTGTGTGTGTGGGTTATAATTGGTCAGAGGATTAAAGGAACAGATTGGAACTTCAAGTCTTGCAGATGTTTAAAGCATCCCTCTCACCCTTTAAAATCCCTCCAGTGACATAAAATATTTAAATCTCTTCCAGGTTTGGATGTTCATTCCTCAAGCCCCATAAATGACCCCTCAAAATGGTATGATATGTCCATCCTCATTCCAGGGCCACATGGATTGCAAATTAATTTGGGGCTTGTCATCTGTCCTGGGGTCAGAGATTTACTTAGGTCTCTTAGAATTGAATTGTGCCTATTTTTCTTTACAGTAGTGAAATGCACTAAAAGAGTCTCAAGTTGGTATCTTGCAACCACATCTCTCATCATCTCCCAGACATGGCCAGATTAGAAAAGCTGGAAAACTATTTTTGGAAGAGTCCTTCAAAAGTTTCTACCAATATTCCTGCCTATTCCTAGATAGAACATTAAAATGTACTAAGGTTGTGCGAAGAGTTCCAAGCAACCAATTAAGCTGGAGTTATATTAACAAGCAATATTGAACTCATTTTCAACACTGCTTTCTAATCAAAAAGTCCCTGCCTGGATTTGCCATTGATCCTTCCAGGTGAGTATACTGTTCCACTCACTAAAGAACAGAGCATACTTTAAGGCACTGCACTACATTGTTGCATGACTTCTTATTCAAAAGGAAGACTCTTTCTGCAATCAAAGTGCAATTCTGTAATCATAAAGATGTATTTTCTTGCTTCATAACCAAAATGGCCATGCCAAATGGAGATGATACTGTATAATTACAATCTAGCACATCTGGAAAGCATCAAATTGGGGAAGGTAGCAGAATTTTATTTATGAATGAAAAGCTTGAATTAACATGAAGTCAAAAAGGAAGAACTCATGTACAAAAAATTAGGAGATTTGCTAGAATACAAGAAAATGTGGATGTTTTTTCCTCTTAATAAAATATAGACACAACCTAATGCATTCTGAATCTGGTTAATGGATAATGTAGGTCAGTGTTTCCCAACCTTGGAAACTTTGATTTGTCTGGATTTCAACTTCTAGAATTCTTAGCAAAGGCCATACTATCTGGGAGTTAAAGTCCACACATCTTCAATGTTAAGAAAGGTTGCTGTAGGTAGATTGTTGAGCAAGAGTGGAAATGAAAGACAATGCAAAAATCCCTAAAAACAGCACAGCTGACAGACTACCTGGTTAACATATATATTGTGCAAAGCCCTTATTTTTAGACCAAATCCAAATCCATTTAACTCAATCCACTGCTCATTAGCCTTCTATTGGACACTAATAGTAGAACAATGGTAGGACACAGAAATATTTATATCCTGCCTTTATCATTTTCGTAAATAAGTCAAGGCAGTGAACATACCCAATACTTCCTTCTATTTTCCCCACAACCATCACCCTATGAGATGGATTGGACTGAGAGTGTGTGTGGCCCAAAGTGATTCAGCCAAATGAATAGTTATTACAGTTAGGTTATTGTAACTATCATTCATCATTAGCCCAATGATGATTTTAATGAATTTTAAATCAAATATCTTTTAAGAGTTTTGCTATATATATATTACACTAGCTGGATACCCATGCTTCGTTATGAAACTATGTGATCGGGCTTGATAAATCAATACTTACAGCTTGAAAATTAATGAGTAGTTACAATCGGCCTCTCCTCTCCCCTTCTCTCCCTCAGCCTTGCCCCACAGAACCCTATCCTATCCTATCCCCCTTTTGTCCCTTGCCCCACAGAGGCCTTGCCTATCTCTTCCCTCAGGTTTTCTCCACAGAAGGCTCCCCTATCCTATCCCCTTCTCTCTCTCAGGCTTGCCGCACAGAGGCCTCTCCAATCCTAACTCCTTCTCTCCCTCAGGTTTGCTCCACAGAAGGCTCCCCTATTCTATCCCCTTCTCTCCCTCAGGCTTGCCGCACAGAGGTCTCTCCTATCGTAACCCCTTCTCTCCCTCAGGTTTGCTCCACAGAAGCCTCTCCTATACTATCCCCTTCTCTCCCTCAGGCTTGCCCCACAGAAACCTCCCCTATCCTATCCCCTGGTTGCTGTTGTGAAAGTAGAACTGAAAGTGAAAGTCCTCTCTGCTTCTGTTTTGCATTTGGAACAGATTTCTTTTCAGGTGGGGGGAGGGGGAATAGAACTCCTTAGCATCAGAGGGCTGTTTGGAAAGTGAAATAGTAGTTGCTGTGCGAGCAAGGAGGAGACAGGAAGGAGCCTGGCTGTGGCTTAGCTCAAGTGTTTTGTATTAAAGCTGCTTCCTGTTGTGAAAGTAAAACTGAAAGTGAAGCTCCTCTATTCTGCTTATGTTAAGCAGAATAGAGGAGCACCTAGAAGCTAAGAGGAACATACATGGCAAATTTCAAGTTTGTAGGCTTTATGGTTCTGGAGATTTTGTGATTACGGCATGAGTGGTTTTCGCTTTTATATATATAGATGTCAGCTTCTTCAAAAACAACTCTGTGAACCTGCAAATTACTCTATAGAAAACATTCTGCCTCCAGTCCATGGCTGAATCAATATCCCTGGATCCAGCTGCTTGGGCTGTTTGCTAAAGAGACCATTCAGCATGTTATATGTTCCAACAAGGATGCTGCCTCTCACCCAAGGTCCGACTATTCAACCTTCCTTTTATTTCCCAAACATAACATGGAATGACTGAGTTTCTTACCAAGTAAAAGAGCTGTTCAAGCTGGAACAATGCTTGCTGTGCACCCAGTTTGATCTTTATCAGAGAATGTTGGTAGGCTCGACTACAGAGCTTGATTGACAAGGAACCCAGGCGCCTGTAGTAACTTGGGTCTTCTTTCTGGTTTTCAAGAGAGGCTGCTCCAGAGCGGTCCGAAAATGCAATGGCAACTAAACAAACAAACAACTAGATCAAGAGAGATCCCCATTCACAATACCTGATCTAATATTATCAGTCAGTTTATTTCATAAATAACATTCCTCACAACTAAGTTTCTGAGAAATTTTAACTAGTAGCCACTAGTTAAATCCGCCTTGATTAAGCTTTGGGAAAATCTGGGCTATACTTATGTATAAGTATATAAAGACTTCAACCCCTCTCCCTCATTTTTAATACTATTTAATTGGGGAAGTGAAGGGACTATTTTAGCATATGTACTACAATTTGGTGAGGACGCACAAAAAGGGATCAGCATTGACCCAGACTCCTTTTCACTGCCCCACCCCCCAGCACTAAGCTATATTAAATTTTTAGAGTAGCATGTTGTGTGAACCCAACCTTCATGGCATGTAAAAACAAGATCCATGGCTTATAGGTTGTGTGAAACTCTTCAGTCAGATTTTGTGAAAGAGTGCAAGATGTTAAAATACAACCCCTTTGGTGGACATGCATAGGTATATATAGTACATTTGATCAATAAATAAATTGATCTGCACCAGGCTCCATATCAATCATCTGCCACATTTTAGGGCAGTGTTTCTCAACCTCAGCAACTGTTAAAATGTGTGGTCTCTAACTCCCAGAATTCTGTGGGATGCTGGCTAGGGAATTCTGGGAACTGGAGTTCACAATTGTAAAAGTTGCTGAGGTTAAGAAACACTGCTTTAGAATGGTCTTCCTAAAGTCAGAATAAAGCATTTCATTTTTGGTGACCTTACACCAGCCTGTTAGGGCCTTGAACTTTTTAGAGTAGTTGAATCTACAATTCCCAACAGACCACCAATTTCTCCTGCACAAAAATACCAGCAGAAGGAAATCAGCTGGGCCTGATCTACATGGAGACTACGATTTTATTTTGGCTTTGAGGAATTGTTCTCTCTCTCCCTTTACCCCACTCTCCTTCCATAGCCATTAGTTTTTATTTATTGCTTAAAGGGGCAGAAAGATCCATGCCTTTCATTTAGGTTAGGAGAAAATGAGTCTTCAATAGTGTCCACAGCAGAGACTATTAAAAAAATAAAAATATATATAAAAAAATAGTCTCCACAGCAGAGTAGAAATAACAGATACACTTTTCATTTAATCTTCAACCTAATCTTTGCATATGTCTTAAAATCAGATGTAGCAAGGAGGGTCAGTTGGAAAGAGGAGCAATCGGAGGATAGAGGGATTTGGAAGAAATTTTATAAGACTGATAAGCCTGTACTTTTGTTTGCTAAAATGTGACCTAATTTTTAAAAAAGTAAAATTGGTTTTATTTAGGAACATATGGATTGGATACCTTGATTTGATTCTTAGAATACTTTATCCTGCAATAAAGTACATTTATCCATGCCTCTAGCTTTCTTAGTTCGTTTTTATACAACTGACTGAGAGCACCCGGCTTCCCTTACAAATTTGGTCTTCTCCTCTGTCTATTCTATTTCCTGTCAATGCTGCAGACTGCATATCCTTTGGCACAAAGAACAATCTTTTGCTGGAGATGCAGTACAGGTAGTCCTCGACTTACAACGCTTCATTTAGTGACAGTTCAAAGTTACAATGGCACTGAAAAAAGGGACTTATGACCATTTTTACATTTACGACCATTGCAGCATCGCCATGGTCATGGTGATCAAAATTCAGATGCTTGGCAATTGATTCATATTTATGACCGTCCAGTGTCCTGGGGACATGTCATCACCTTTTGTGACCTTCTGACAAGCCAAGTCAATGGAGAAGCCAGATTCACATAACAATGTGGTGGCTAACCTAACAACTGCAATGATTCACTTAACAACGATGGCAAGAGAAAATCATAAAATAGGACAAAACTCACTTAACAACTTTCTCACTTAGCAACAGAAAGTTTGGGCTCAATTGTGGTCATAACTCGAGGACTACCTGCATAAGCAGCTTTATCCAAAATAAGATCATTCAGTTCCTCTATATTGGCTAGAATCACGCGCAATGGTCTTGGGTTAAGTCATGGATGATCAATTATGGTTTCTTGAATAAGCCACAATTGCCAGCTGATGTGGAGCTGGATATAAAAGCATATATCCTTCTGATTTAGCATACTTACTGACCAGCAGGAACTCTCTACGCAAGAGATTTTCCCTATCAGAATTAACAGCTCTCAATTTTAAGAAAAATGAGCTAGAAAATATTAGATTCTATTATTTTTAAAACTAGTCTGTTTAGCATACCTCCCAATTTTTACTTATGACATATTTTCAATATTTTATACCTTTATTAGGCCAGTATAGTGTATTCTTGGTCTACTTTTCCTAGCCAATGTCTTTTAGATGTTTTAAACTTTACTCAAAGGAAGAAGTATTAAAACAGAATGAATAAATAAATAAATAAATCCTATTAGTTAGTTGGTTAACTATCTCAGCTATTGTATACATTTATTTTTGGATTTTTTAAAAAAATACCATATTTTTCGCACTATAAGATGCACTCCCCCCCACCCAAAAGTGGGTGGAAATGTCTGTGCATCTTATAGAGCGAATATTGTGGTGGGGGCAGGGGCGAGGGCTCTGTCGCTGCCTGTCACCGCTGCTGCTGCCTGTAACCAGTGCCACCGTTCGCCGCCGCTGGGGAACGCTAGCGCCTGCACCGCTGATTGGCGGTTGGATTGGCCTCTCAGAACACCGCCAATCAGCTGTTCTAGGCAGCGAGGATTGCCAATACCAGCGGAACACCACCGATCCAGCGGCAGCGCAATCTCCACCACCTATAACAACTGATCAGCAGTATTCCAGGAGGCCGATCCAACTGCCAATCTGCTGCTCAGCAGCGAAGGCTCCAGCGTTCCCCAGCAGTAGCAGCAGCTGAGCTCAGTTGACCGGTGGTGGGCGCCAACAGGGCAGAGCCCTGATGAGCCATGTGCTAGGGCTGCAATAATGTACTGGCTGACCAGGCTGTTTGCTGCAAGGACGCTAGCCAGATGAATACCAGATGGATGCTGGGAGGCAGAGATAGATTTTGTTTTCTTGTTTTCCTCATCTAAAGCTAATGAGTGTCTTATGGTCCAGTGTGTCTTATAGTGTGAAAAATACGGTAACTGTTTTAGTTTTAGAATTATATGCCATCCAGAATCACTTGGCAGAGAAAGATGGCTGTAGAAATAAAATAAGTAAATAAATTTAGGGGTCAAACGTATTAGAATGTGGATAATCAAGAGAGAGAACCACATAGTCTTACAAAATTCCTCATCCGTGATTGGCAGAAAGCGCTCTAGTAAGTCATCCGATTTGAAGATCATCTTGTCAACACTACTGGCCATCATCTGTGCCATGTTGATTTCCATCATAGTGTTTACAGCATTCCTCACTGAACACAATGTCACTTCCACGCTCTCCGCGGCAGCTTCAATGCCTATATCTAGCATGGTATCCATAATATCCTTTGCTTCAGTTAATTTGGTATAAATAGATTCAATGGCATTTGTCATGATCTGGCAGTGAAAAATCAAAAACAGAACATTTCACAGTGAAAAATGATTAAAATCAACAGAATTAAGCACTAGCGCATATACCCTCCTCTAAATTTGGGTTGCAGGTCGTTCTTGCATCCAATTTGAATTTGATTTGCTACATTTGTTTTCAGTGCAGCAATTAATTTTTAAAAAACAACAACAAATATACAGGTAGTCCTCAACCTACAACCACAATTGAGCCCAAATTTCCATTAGCTAAGCAAGGCAGTTAAGTGACTTTTGCCCCATTTTACATCTTTTTCTGCCACAATTGTTAAGCAAATCTTGCAGTTGTTAAGTGAATCTGGCTTCCTCCCTGACAATGACATTGTCAGATGTCAGCTGGGAAGATTACAAATGGTGGTCACATGAGACAGACAGACACACACACACACACGGATAGTGCAGCTGTCATATATACATGCCAGTTGCCAAGCTCCCAAATCATGCGACCATGGGGATGCTGCAACTGTCATTAAGTATGAAAACCACTTAAGCTATTTTTTTCGGTGCCATTGTAACTTTGAATGGTCACTAAATGAATGGTTGTTAAGCCAAGGAATATCTGTGCACAAAACCAAATTGATTAGCATGTTCTAAGAATATTGAGAAATGGGTCAGGGTAACAAATGAAACAAAGATTCCAAATAATTTTTATATATATATACAAATACCCCCAAATCCTGTCAAATGGTTTATAAATCTGGAACTCAATTACTCTGCTAATAAGAGTAGTATGGTGGTACTGAACCTATGGCGTGCATGTCAAACATGACACGTTTTGTGTAACACACCAGCGTTCACCAACATCCAACAACTATTGTCAGAAACACACGCTGTTCTCATGCAATTTTCTGAGGCCTTGGAAGCTGCATGAGAATGGGTGAGTGTCGTCATGCAGCCTCCAGAGGTTGCATGAGTGGGCCATGCTCTTGCACAGACTCTGGAGGCTGTAAAAATCATGCAAGAATCAGGCAGTTTTCAGAAGTCACAGCATTTTACAAAACGTACAAAAAAAAAGGGGAAAAAAAAGAACGAAGGCCTCGTGTGATCCAGAGCTGCCTCAGATAGGCCACAGGAGACTGTCAACAGAAAAATACCACCTGAAGGTAAATGGCATATGGCAGATTCTGGGGAATCACACATGATTGGACTGTATTTTTTCAAAATTAATATGTAAAAACTTGTTTCTTGTGTGCGTGTGAAACACATAGGAGTCCCTCTCTGAGGGAGATGGGCAATTCAGAAATGTGAATAAATAAAATAAAAAAGTTAACCATTTTCCAAAATTTCGACATGCCAAGCCTAAAAATTTCACCATCACTGGACTAGTACTACAATAGATCCTACTAAACATAAGAGGCTGTTTTTACATTTTTAAAAATGCTAAAAAAATCCAAGAGTCCTACTAGTCCAAAAATTTGGAAAGCGAAGTATTTAAAGGAGAAAACAAAATGTCCTTTTTTCTCCCACAGGAAGAAAAAGTTGGCTGGCATTTCAGCATGACCTGGCTGGTACAGCACCAGTGGTGGGTTGCCCCCGGTTCGGACCAGTTCTATAGAACCGGTAGTAAAACCAGTGGGAGGCTCCACCCACCGACCCCAACGTCATCAGGAAGCTTCTGCGCATGCGCAGCCCCATTGCAAACCGGTAGTAAAGGTAAGTAGAACCCACCCCTGTACAACACCTCCTGATAACGGCTGTGTCCAAAATGCTTATGAAGCTGATCACTTACCTCTTGTACTGATTACAGGAGAGAGAGAGAATTGTGGTCTTCCAAATCTTACTGAATTACAATGCCCTGCATCCTTCACATTACCTGTCCTAAGGACGTTGGGAGTTGTAATTCCATGAAATCTAAAATGTCACATGTTGCTTACATGACTCTACACAGATTGATAATATGATATTATGGAAGGTCAAGTGATTACCTGGTCCACTGTCTGTTGCACAATAGGAAATTTGTGTTGTAGCCTACACGCAAACATATTTGCAATAGAAACTGTAAATGGTAAAGATGAAAGAAAGGTTTGATTACTTAAAAGATTCCTGGTTATGTTGAACAACTGGATGTTACTTGTATTTGGGTCTATGCATACCATCTGAATGTACTTTGAAGCCAGTGATCTTTTATATTTTAAAAGCAGCTTTGTGTTTATAGCTAACTGCATTAGAAAAGTTGCATCTCTCCCTTGATTGGAAAATAGATAATTTTAAGCATTCAGCCTCCTTTTTTGGGGATTTCTCTTTCTTCATTCTTTCTCCACAACAAGCATAGGATTTCTATTAAACCATGTAATTTACAGAATAAAATTCATTTGTCCTTTTAGATTTTAAAGATCTCTCCCTAAATTCTCCTAGAGTGAAGGAAATGGACTGGCACCGGTCCGCAACCTGCCAGAAACTGGGCTGCACAAACAAGTGAAGCCCCATCTGTGGGGTGCAAGCAGCATACAAACCATGACCCCTCCGGTCTGGGGAAAAATGTCTCTCCACAAAACTGGTCCCTGGTGCCCAAAAGATTGGGGGGTGCTGACCTAGATTATCTTAATATCATAGCTTACATTTAGAAAGATCATTCTTAGAAGAATAATGTCTAAAATGATGTCCTACACAGAATTGTGTTGCTTCCCTTGCTGCACTTTGCAAGACTTGATAGTTCCTCACAAAATTTACAAAATGGAAAAACCTATTTAAATTTTTATTATTTAGAGAGTTCTCGCTTTTCATTCCATTCAGGATAAAGTAGAAGAAATGAAACACAACATGAGAAAATTTCTAGCACCCTCATTTAGAGAGCAGCCTATACACTTCATATACGTCAATTCTTCCCTAAAGAAGATATAATCTCACACCAGAACTTCAGTGAAAGATCTTAAACCTAGTTCATATGCTAAGCAGTTCAAGAGAACTTTAATTCCAGAAAGTAGGGAACTCAGTCTAGGAAAGGTTCTAGTTTCTCTTGGATTTCGAGTTAAATTGCAAGATATACATGAGAGGGAAGAATTTTGCTAATCAGTAATAATAGAAGATTCTCTCCCCCTCCCCCGCATTCTCAAATAATTGACCAAAATCAGAAATTATGTTGCAAACAAATATTTATTTTAACAAAGATCTGCTGCTAAGATTGCTCAATAATGATAAACAGTAAAACCAATTGCTTGGCAAGCGCAATTAATCAAAGAACCCATTCTTTCACACTTCCCCAAACCTGCTGCCCAAACATTTGTACAAACAAAGGCAAAGCTGATAGGAAGGACAGTATTACCTTTGCCAGACTCACACACTAGTACCAATACATAAGCACACCTATGCCCTTCGTGGATCACTCACTAGAACCAGCACAAACACACACCCGAGACTCCTCAAGCCCATGCCAAGGACCAGTGCCCCCTCTGAAACAACCTCTCTAAAACCTCATTTTCTCTATAGCTACCCTCTTTGCTTTGGGGAATAAATACACCTCCTTTCCTCACAGCTTGTCTGGATTTCATTCTTTGCTTTTGTGCAACCCCAACTTGAACTGAAACCCCAAATTATTCTTTGGACAATATGCTGAGCAGTTCATGAAAACTTTAATCCCAGATAGTAGAAAGTGGAGAACTCAATGTAAGAAAAGCTCTGGTTTCTCTTGGATTTCTAGATAAATTGCAAGACATAATGCTAATTCAACCCAGTTATTTTGCTGTTCAGATATTTGTTGAAGTAGGAGTGGAAGATTCTTGAAGAAAACATGGAGGAGCAGATCAGTGGCTAGTTCCACACACATCATGGCATGTTTACCTAATCATGGGTTACTCAATTACAGGTAGTCCTCAATTTACAACAGGTCACTTAGTGACCGTTCAAAGTTATAACATCTCTGAAAGTGACTTATGACCATTTTTCACACTTATGACCATTGCAGCAGCATCCCCATGGTCACATGATTTACATTTGCCTACTTGACAACTGACTCACATTTATGATGGTTGCAGTGTCCTGGGGTCATGTGATTACTTTTTGCAACCTTCTGACAAGCTAACTCAATGGGGAAACCAGATTCACTTAACAATCGTGTTACTAATTTAACAACTGCAGTGAGTCACTTAACAAATGTGGCAAGAAAAATAGTAAAATGGGGCCAAAACATACTTTAAAATTTTTTCCTTAACAACATAAATTTTGGGCTCAGTTGTGATAGTAAGTTGAGGACTACCTGTACTATCGGTAGTTGATTCATACGTAGATCATATTAAAGTGTGAACAAGCAAACTATATCTTAAATTAGTGTGATGTGCCAAGCAGTCAGTACATTTGTAGTTAGTGTTGCAAGCCTGCTGGTCACAGTCTCCACATTTCAATGAATTGATTTCTAAAATATTTTGGCTGTAGAGAAGGCAAAACTAGATTAATTCCATTAGTTTAGATAAGATGGTGTGTCTTAGGTTTGAAAAATAAAATTAAGAGCTCAGGTTTGCTTCCTAGGCTTGCCCTAAGGAACCTTTGGAATCAAAACTTTTTAAGGATCCCCAGTTACTTTTGGACTAGAAATCCTCTATTCTCTACTTAATGGCTTACAGCATCTCAAAACTCATACATTGCAAAAACCAAGCCAAAAAGACAAAGAATGGCATGGCAAAGAATAATTTGGAGTGGGCCTACCAGCTATGATCAATTACTTACGTTGTGGTTCAAATATGTCGAGAAGAGGCTCTGTGCTGCTTGCAATATTCTTCACACCCGTCTCTGCCATCTCAAAGACTGCTTGGATAGTTGGATGAGACTGCTTGGCAAAATTATAGGTAGACGAAACCCACTCATAAGTAGAACTGATTAATGGCAGATCAACAAACTTTTGGATGGCACACTAAGAAATAAGATACCAGAGAGTCACCATCTTGCTGGATCCCAGAAGAGCTCTAGATTGCAGAATTGCAGTTAGATCAGTGGTGAAATCCAAATTTTTTACTACCGGTTCTGTGGGTGTGGCTTGGTGGGCATGGTGTGACTTGGTGGGCGTGGCAGAGGAAGGATACTGCAAAATCTTCATTTCCACCCCACTCCAGGGGAAGGATATTGCAAAGTCCCCATTCCCTCCCCACTCTGGGGCCAGCCAGAGGTAGTATTTGCCGGTTCTCCAAACTACTCAAAATTTCCACTACCGAACTGCTCAAAATGTCCGCTACCGGTTCTCCAGAACCTGTCAGAACCAGTTGGATTTCACCCCTAAGTTAGATCACATATTCGGGAAAGGCGCACTTATCAATGAAGCTATGATTCATACTGGTATGTAAAACTGAATAAACAGTAAACTGATACTGCTGAGATCTAGTTTGTTACTGTTTCTTTCTCACAATATTATTGCACATTATTGTGAGCTTAAAAACAGCACAATGCAAGAATGTTTTTAAGAAGCACAAAAGCTTTTCTCAGCATTTTCTTAAGTTTTTTGATAGTTTTACTGCAACTAAAATAGGAGCCTGTGGGCCTGCAGCTCTTTGAAAATAAATCCATGAAATAGATTAGAAAATCCATGCTGGATTCTATTCCTGTCACGTAGAGTTTGACCCTTAAATGCTTCTTCCAGTATTGTCCACTTACCTGATGTTCATTTACAATCCTTACAGGCATTAACTCTGCTCCAGGAGAATACATGATGACAATAATGAGAAAGAGCGGCCAGCACTACACAGAGACAAGATCCGATTCAGTCATCACACTATTATATCCAATTACATTACACACAATTTTAGCAGCTTTTACAGAAGGAAGGAAGGCCAGCTAAATAAACAAACAAACCAGTGGTGGGTTGCTCCCGGTTTGGACCGATTCTAAAGAACTGGTAGTAAAACCGGCGGGAGGCTCCACCCACTGACCCTGACGTCATCAGAAGTGATCTGCGCATGCGCAGAAGCTTCTGCACATGTGCAGAAGCAAGGCATGTGCGCGAGCGATCCCGTTGCGAAACGGTAGTAAAGGTAAGTAGAACCCACCCCTGAAACAAACCCTACCCTATACCTGCATTTAAGTAGTGTTTATTCAAAGCTTGATCTATTTACATCATAAGGACATCTGGAGATCTCAGAGCAGGCTTTAACGGTGAGGTCAAAAAGATTCCTTCTATTATAGAGAATATCTGATTTCAATAAATTTAGCTGTACTATAATGTGATTTGTTTGCTTTGGCCTGATATTTATTCTTGCACTTTTTGGCAACTAGCTAACTGTGGTTTGTAGAAATTATTCAAGATTTGATTGTTAATTTATGATTTACAAGTTAACAGTTCAGGTGTTTTTGACAAAAGCTCTCTATCATTTATGGCAGGGGTGTCCAACCTGGAAACTTTAAGACTTGTGGGCTTCAACTTCCAGAATTCCTCAGCCAGCCATGTTGACTGGGGGATTCTGGGAATTGAAGTCCACAAGTCTTAAAGTTGCCAGGTTTGGAGACCCCTGATCTATAGAAAAGAAGAAAAAGCAGTGACACTTTTGGGACAACCTGTTTCCAAGACTACCTCCCCCTCAACAAAACAAATATTTCAACCCTGATGCTATAGTTATCAGCTTAATGTAGCATAACTTTCTTTCAAAGTAATCAGAAATAGTTGGCATTTCTGAGCATTACAGGTAGTCCTCAACTTACCACAATTGAACCCAAAATTTACGTTAAGTGAGAAATTTGTTACATGAGTTTTGCCTCATTTTACTTTTCTCGCCAATTTTGTTAAGTGAATCACTGCATTTCCCCACTGACTTTGCTTTTCAGAAGATTGCAAATGGCTCTGGGACAGTGCAACCATGATAAACGTGAGTCAGCTACACAGAACCAACTGTAAATCACGTGACCATGGGATGCTGCATCGGTCATATGTGTGTGTAGGAAGTTAGCACCCACCTCTTTCCTAGAAGAATGAAATATTTGGGGAAATATTAAAAAGGCAGAATATTATGTTTCCCTGGATGAGAAATGGAGAAGCATGTTTTAAAGACAAAGCAGCTCCCACCTTCCTGCCCCCACCCTTTTGTTAATAGGCCAGAGGCAGAAACTCAATCTTTGTCAATGGACCTCATCTGCAAGACAATGGGGCCCATCTATAGGACAGAAACTCACCACATGGCACCTGGGAAGATTTTATCAGCCAGCAGGGCTAGCTAAAACCCCCACCCCCTGGAAGTCTGACAACCAATCAGGATACTCTTTCTGGGCCCCAGGAAGTTCAAAGCCAGAGAGAGCATAAAAACCCTGGGGACTCGCTGTATCTGCCCTTTTCTGTTCAGGAACTCAAACCATGTGATCCTGTCCACCATTAAACCATCTTTCCAAGCAGTCTCCATGTTTCCAGTGTCTTTTTCCCCACTTGGAGCAGAACCTAGAAGGATATTTCTTCCAACATGTGGAAAACAGTCACTTTTTTCAGTGCCATTGTTAATTTTGAACAGTCTTTAAATAAACTGTTTTAAGTAGAAGACTAGCTGTATTCACAAATGTATGCATTTTTCATTGCAGTCCCAATCCAATTCCAATTCAAATTGGAAAGGCCTTTATGGAGGTCAGTTAATTCTCTAGCAGGGCCCTTCCTTTGCCACTGCAATCCGAGCAAAGAATTGCAGAATAGGATGATAACCAATTCGATTTAAACTGGTATTTCTGCTTTCCCTTAGGGGTGTTCTAAACAGCTCCACCCTTTCAAGTTTGTGACCAATTATTTCTTCCATAGATGGAAACTGAAGCCTTTCTATTCCAAGGAATTTGTCATGCTGGGAATCTTTGAGGTTTGTGGACTTGCAACCCCCACCCCAGCCCAATAATCTAATCAGGAAAGGCTGGTGAAACTGGGTGTGGCTGTGCTAATTTCTTAGAACAAAAGCAATTTAGCCACAGTATTTTGGACACAGTATTTTAAGGAGAAACCAAATATTTCTGCAGAACAAGCCAAAGGGAAAAAAAAAAAACCCACCAGGACACAACCAAATATGGTCCCTTTTAAGAAACTCAATTAAACTAAGTTTTTGGGAAATACTTCTTGCCTTAAAATATAGCAAAGTTATGTTGGTTCAGGAGCTTTTTCTTGTGTGTGGCATTGTTGCAAAGTGTAACAGCCACGCTGCACCAGGCCAAGATTCTATATCTGACAAAAGTCAAATATTTTAGCAAAACCTAAAACCAACTTATAAGAACAATTAACTTTTTCCACCGATGCCCAGCATTTGGTATTCAAAAGCACCCAGAGCAATTGACTACCTCTGAATGAGGAATTTCCATTCAACTATCAAGCCTGGGAGACCAACTCTTTGCAAAAAATATATTAGTTTTGCTTTGCAGAGTCACTTAAAAAGAAAACCGAAAGACAAACTATAAACCACATTTCAGGGGGAAAAAAGCAACTCAGGTTAGTCATTTTTACAATCATACATACCTCAAAGCCAAAGATAAAGCCACTTCCGGCCTCAGTGGTCTTATATACCATAAAACATGAAAAGGCAGAGGCGGGCTATCATTGACAGACAGTTCCGAAAAGCAATCAAAAGCTTCTTCCACTGCTGAATGGGAGATAGGGTAATTGTGTTAGGAAAGACAATGGCTGCAATCCTATACTGTATTCCTTTAACAACCCACAGTCAGGCTGACTAAGAATTATGTTAACTAGAATGCAAAACATCAAGAGGACCCGATGTTAGAAAGGGTAGCTATAGATTTTCAGTGACCATATGTCCTTTATTAGAAAGGGCAATCTTTTATTTCAAAAAACCCTGTCGTTCAGATTTTTTAAATTTAATCATTTTCTGTGCCGTGCTCTTTAATTTTTCTTTGTAATGCAAAGTTATAAACTAGAAACAATGGAATGTTTGTGTCCTTATGAACCTCTTTCAGATTTGCTCCTTTTGAAGCTTATCCTTTATTTTTTTTTTCCCAAGAAAATAAGGTTAATGTATGTAAAGTACATCTGAGGACTCAGTTTGTGGGGGCAATAAGCTGACTTTGTATAAATATACAAAAGTATGAAGGCTATTGCTTAACACATTGTAAGCCGCCCTGAGTCTCCGGAGGAGGGCGGCATATAAATAAATAAATAAAAAGTAGAAAAAAATATAGCTACTACTGGTAATTTTCTTTTTTTTTACTCTAGATCGTTTTGGATCACCTCTCTTGAAACAAATCTGGAACAATTTACCATCTGTGCAAAGGGCATCTTGTGTGTAACAGTGAACATATATGCGCTTTTCACTAGAAGCCATGAGATTTATTTCCTGATTTATCTGCAGCTCTCCAGTTGTAATTCAATGGAATTGCTTTTGTACAAATAAAATAGCTCACAGACTGGTGGGAGCCTCTAGTGGGAAAAAAACTGGCAAGAAACAGAGAGAAAGTTCATATGAGGTCATTCTCTTCTGCAGTTCAATATTTTGCAGTGTGGTGTCCTGTAGTGCTATGAATTGTTTAGGTGTATAGTCTAAGACTTGAATCCATTATTGAAAAAGATGATGTGACAAATGAGTTGCGTGAAGTGGCTAATTGACTTAGCAAGAGGATGGGCCAGGCTTGCTTTTAGCCAATTCTTTAATGAGGCTTCTGAGCAAAAATAAAACAAAAACATTTTGCTGATGATAGGTTTAATTATCACAGAGTTTTCTTTTCCTTCCTTTCTTCTTGAACAACGAGCATTCAACAGGGAAACCTTGTCTGTAGGTTGTATATTTGCCTGCCACTTCAGCATTTCTGATTGAAAAAAAAAAGTGACATTTCTGAATGTGTGCGAATTTAGAAAGGTCACCTCTTTTCAACTAGAAAACCTTTTTTCAATTATGGAAGGAGTACGTAATGCTGGGCTCTACGCTGCTCCTGAATTCTTTCTGATGGGGCCACCTGATTAGGGTGGCCAAATAATTCAAAAAAGTTCCTGCATTCTTAATACTTGTGTAGAAGCCAGGGCTGAGAAATTCTGACTTCTGAACACAGAACACAGAATCACAGGGCTAGAAGCAGGGGTGCTATTCAGCAGGTTCTGACAGGTTCTGGAGAACCGGTAGCAGAAATTTTGAGTAGTTCGGAGAACTGGCAGATACCACCTCTGGCTGGCCCCAGAGTGGGGTGGGAATACAGATTTTGCAATATCCTTCCCCTGGAGTGGGGAGGGAATGGAGATTTTGCAGTATCCTTCCCCTGCCACGCCCACCAAGCCACACCCACGGAATGGTAGTAAAAAAAAGATTGAATTCTACCACTGGCTAGAAGGGACCTTGGAGGTCTTCTAGTCTAACTCTTTCTGCTCAAGGCAGGAGACCTTATATCACGGGTGTCAAACATGCGGCATCACGTTGCCATCACTTGATGTTTTGTGATGTTTTTCCCCTTCATGGAGCTGGGGTGAGCATGGTCTGTGCGTGACTCATCCAGCCCACAGGCTGCCAGTTTGACACCCCTGCCTTATACTATTCTTGTCAAATGGTTGTCCAATCTGTTTCTGAAAACCTTCAGTGATGGAGTGAGCACCCACAACTCTGGGAGCCAAGCTATTCCATTGATCAATTGTTCCCACAGTCAGAAAATGTTTCCTTTCTTCTAGACTGAATCTCAGATTTAACAAGCTTCCGCCCATTATTTCCTGTTCTGCTGAGATTCAGTCATTCATTCTTCTGAAAAATTATTCACATTGCTCAAGCTCCTTTCCTGATATACGTAGTATTTGATTTACAACCAGTTGTTTAATAGCTATTCAAAGTTATAATGTACTCAAAGTTATTTACGACCCATTCACAAAGTTATAACCACTGCACTACCTCATGGTCAGGTGATTGCATTTTGGGTGCTTGGCAGCCAACTTGCATTTATGACTGGTTGCAATGGCCAATGGTCATGTGATCACATTTTGCAACACTTTTTGCCAATGGCACATTTTGCCATTTTCCAGCAAAACACCCATTGGATAAAATGGATTTGCACTTACGACCACATGTTTTGCTTAATGAGCACATGGTTTGCTTAATAATCACAGTGACTTGTTTAATGATTGTCATAAAAACAGTTGTAAAATTAAATCTGGTCAAATGGTGCCTCAATTTATGACTGCAATGACTTAACAACTAATGGTTCATATTTTAGCTGTAAACTGAGGACTACCTATAGTATTTCATTATCCTAGTAGATTTTTTGTGCCTTTGTTTCTTTAGTGTTATGCAGCTTAGCTATTTATCATTGCTGTATCTTCTATTTCTTTTCAAATTTGTTCTCTGTCTATTCTCATGGATTATATTTTACAGGAATAGTTTCTTTTGAGTGACTTCTTGATTGTCTGAAAGAAAACTCAGTTTATCTAGAGAGGAGTAAATTGGGGGAGCCTGTTTTAAGCCTTATTAAAGGTCTTGACACAGGATGCTGCTGTCAGCAAACTTCAAAGAAAATTAAATAGCCTTCTCAATGCATTTCAGCCATTTTAATTTATATCCGGTTATAATTCACAACTCCTTTGTCTAAGCAAATCCAGAATATCTACAGAACTGCCTTCTTCAATTCTAACTTGCAAATTTAAGATCATCCACTGAATTTTTTGTTCAACCCAACCAGAAAATACTTAACCATGGTCAGCCATACTTACCTGGGGTCATTTTATTATCTTTCAGATATTAAATAAAATATGTTCATTTCCCCTAATACATAATGTGATTTCATAAACAATGTTCAATGAATACTTAAGGTGTTTTCTCACTGCTGAGTTGAAGTATCCTTAGCCCATCCTTGACCTGAACTGTGTCTTGAAATTTCTTGCGTACATTGTTGTTCCCTACCAAGTCTGTGTTTTGGCTTGCTACTGTCCTGATTCTAAGTGCACAACAAAGACTAAATAAAATGGTTTATTGATTTCTACATCTTTGCTGTTTACTCTTTTGTGTGCTAATGAGAAAAGTACAGTCAATCATAGCAATAATGGGAAAGATCCGACTGCAAGATTATTTTATGTAGAGTTTTTGATATTCTCTGAGCTTTGTTGTTTGCTTGCAGACGTTAATTACCTGACTAGGTAACATCATCAGTGCCATGAGGTTTTCTCCTAGACAGTTCCTTGATTAGGGTATTGTTTTCTACTTGAGTGTTTGGTCCATGTTAATCCTTGCTTATTTGGGTATTGGCTACTGTTGAGAATGTGTTCTCTTTTTGTTTCTTCCTTAGGTTTTTTTTTTTTTTTGTCTCTTTGGAATCATGGTTTAATTCTATTTGTCTCTTTGAAAACATGGTTTAATTCTATTGATTCTGATTTATCTAAATGACAAGTTAGTGGGAACTACCTAGCATTTTTGGATTTAGTTTGGTCTAAGATACTCAGTTTTACGGTTGAAAGTATGGTTGGGTCTATCCATCTGCTTAAAGAAATTTCATTGTATTTTCTGCTGGTATTCATACATGCATTCTGTTAGCCTTCTGCCTGTATGTTTACATAGTGGCTATGAATAATTCTTACACTATATATTGTAGATGCTTCCTGTTTTTTTCTTCTTGGACTCCTGGGTCTTTTCATTTACTTAAGATGTTTAGGGGGGGGGTTAGTTTGTATGCTATGCTGATGCCATGTGGTTGTAATAGTCTGTTGGTTGTTTCTTTTTCTTTTTTTTCTTTTTTTGCAATCATTTTTTTATTTTAAAACAAAAATAAAACATAAAAACATCATCATTCCCAACAGTTACAGACAGTATATCGATCGGTTTGCATCCTTTTGTGCTCCCTCCTCTCTTCAAAATATCACTATACATCCCAAGGATATTTTCATATATAAAAAACAATTTTCACTTGATTTATCTCAGCATCCACATATTTCATATTTATCTCCATTTTTTATTGTCCATCCATTGATAAAATAAATCCCATATCAAATAATATTGTTTATCTTCCTGCTCTCTTATTTCAGATGTTAAATTTGCTCATTTCAGCACAGTCCATCATTTTCTTAATAATTTCTTCATCAGTAGGTGTCCTTTCTCCTTTCCAATTTTTTGCAAATACAATTCTAGCTGCTGTTAAAAGATTCACAATTAAATATTGTAATTCTTTATTGTATGTCTCTGGTAAAATCCCTAATAAAAATATCTCTGGTTTAAAATCAATATGTCTCTTAGTCATTTTTTCCAACCACGTGTGTATCTTGGTCCAATATCTCTTTGCATCTCCGCATGTCCACCACATGTGGTAATAGGATCCTGGAGTCTGATGACACTTCCAACACTTCTCCGATTTATTCTGGAACATTCTGGCTATCCTCATCGGGGGTAAATGCCACCTGTAAAACATCTTATACAAATTCTCCTTATATGCTGTAGACATTGTCATTTTATAATTATGAGACCACAATTTTTGCCATTTCTCTAAATCAATACCATAACCAAAATTTTTCCCCAATGCTATCATTGATTCTTTAACTTGTTCTTCTTCCAGTTTTACTTCTAACAGATATCCATACAACTTTTTAATTATATGATC